GCAATTGATTCCGAGATTCGTCTAATAATGCTGCTTTGAATTAAGCTGGTTATTAAGACTGTAATGAATGAATCCATCGCTGTGGTAATTGTGTTCTATTGGACATGTAAATCCTTCGTTTCCTTTAAGCCTATCCACTGGTGCTCAGCATTCACACTGTAGCTTTGTTTACAGACAGTCATGCTGCCCTAAGCCTAAACCTTGGACAAATTGCAGATGATTCGGTGCGAGTGTTATTATAAAGAGACATATAATACGTCAATTTATGACAGGGAGGAAATTGTTGGCTGAGATATACCGGGAAGCAAGAAAATAATCTATTCATCAATAAATCTTATATGCATGACTGCATGGAGGCTGATTGAGCCTCTGCTGTGAATATAGATGTGTCAACATCACAATAAATGTGACATTCGGCATGGAAACAAGGAGTCTGAAAGCATCGGAGCACTTGAACAGATTTTAAAGGACACTTACTTGAGGGTGAACTGCTCAATAGTAGAGTTGGGCATCAGGTACAGGAAGATTTTGAGAATCTCTCCAGGCTTCAGGGGCTTCTCCGGCAGCCTGAGGAACATGTTCTTGTCTAGCTGCTTGTCCACCAGCAGCTGCTCTTCACTGGCCTGGTACAGGCTGATGCTTCCGATGCGCAGCAGGGGGTGCTGTGACAGAGGTTCTCCCCTGGAAGCACCGCCACCGTGACCTGAACCCTTACTGCACTCCCCTTCCAGGTTAGGCTCGTGTAGCGTGTAGTATAGCTCAGCCTGGAGGGTCTCACTTAACCCATCCAAGAGCCCGTCGCTCGAGCCTTTCCTTCGGCCCAGAGGGGCCACATTGGTGTTAAACCACGACGGAGGAAGCTCCAGTTGGGCCAAGCACTGCGCCAGGTTACCTTTCATGCGGCAGGAGGTTTTAATTTCACGGACATCCCGGAAGGCATGCAAACGGACGCAGGGTAGCTTGTCCTGAGCCTTGAAGTCATCCCAGTCACGACCGGCGATATAGAAAAACACCTGGACTGTGGGGTTGTTGGAGAAGACCCGCGGTTGGACAATGAAGGCCCGAACCTTCCAGTTGACTGTCAGTTGGCCGGGAATATCCAGAGGACTAGCTGGCTGAAGCAACTCCTTGGACAGGGCCTGGTCCTGGGCAAAAGGCCCGAAGCTTATGTTGATGGCGGGGAGGTCTTTTGTCTGGAAAACCACAAAACTCTCAGAGCGCTGCAATGGGTTTCCACTGCTGGGACTACTGCCGCTCTTCGTGCTGCCGCCAAATGTTTGTCCTGTGATCTGAGCCTCCCTCAAAAAGAAGGCCAGTTGTGCATTGGACATTTTGAAGTTGGCAGGAAGGTACACACTGGGTGGTGAAGGACTGGCTGTCATTGCTGACGAACTCAGGGCATCAGAGCTGGTTGGAGAGATTTTACCTGCAAGAGCTGCAAGAAAGAAAGGAGAAAGGAAAGATTTAACTTTTAAATGCAGCTTCCATTTCTATAATAATAATAATAATGCACATTATTTATAAAACACCTTCGAAATCACAGTGTACAAAGTGCTTTCACAAGCAAGCAAAAAGGAGAATATTTAAAAGTTACTTTCAAACAAAGTAAAACAGGTAAAACTCATGAACTGTAAGTGAAAGAAAACACCAGAAAAAGGGAAGATATGGTGAGTGTGTGTGTGGCAATGAATATATGGTATAATTAGGAAGAGACACAAATGTGGTCTACAGAGTCAGCTGAGGGGGCAAAAGGGGAGGAGGTCAAAACACACTAATCAGATGATAACTGGTTGCTGTCAAGCATCCGGAGCAGAGGTTATACACTGAAACATGTCGACATTAAGAAGCTGCGCCCCGTGTGATCTTTGTCTCGGGCAAAACATGTTGCACGAGTGTTTGGATTCAATTAATCTGAAGCGACACCTGTGAACTAGCCAAACTCAAAACTCTTCAAGTTCCTGGAGACGAGCAAATACCTGACCAAACACCCAAGACGCCACCGCAAAATTAATCTAGGTCGAAATCACAAATAACAAAGAGAGTAAATGGGACATACTTATCAAAATCACCCAGAGCTGAGCACAGAAACATAGCTGCCTGTTACCATGGTCCAAATCAGAGATTAAAAGTCCCATATTCCAAATGGTTATATCATTGAGATTTCATCCTTTAAATGTGGGGAAAAAAGGCAGAATCAAGAGGATATTTTGGGAACTCCCCAACAGAAAAGTCTCTTCAAACAATTGTGTTACTTGGAAGTAGTCCACAGAAGTTTCTCTTCTTTTTTGGTAGCTCCTTAGAAAGTATTTTTCATGTGTGTTGCAAAAGAAGGCTGAATTCAAGAATAAAAAAATAAATAAAAATAAAAACAGCAATCTGCAGTTCTTCACTTGGTCATGTTCTGGCTACAAAGGTTCCACCGAGCTTCTTGAACTTGCGCTTGTCTAATTCCCTGTGGCTTAGGTCTTGGTTTAAGAGTGGTTCAGCCCCACACAGCAGCTCTTTCAATCTCAGACTGTGCATGGCTCCGGGACACACTCTGATAGATAGGCAGAGCCTCCTCCCGGTTGGTGGGCTGTACGGAACTATAGACAAAGCCTCTGACGCCGCCCCATCTCGCCACACCTAGTCTCTAGTCTATAATCACCATTTTAGCTCCGGGTCATAGCTAAGACACACAGCCCCTCAGAGGACTCGACTTACACCACACACACACACAGAGGTGAAAGAAAAAACACTCTTCAGCTCGATTCATGCTCTCTCTCTGGACTTGTTCAGGCAGACTCTTATGTGAGTGCATGCAAGTGTGTCTATAAGGACTGTGTGTGTGTGGGTGTGTGTGTGTGTGTGGTGGGGGATGGATGTATTGCCTGAATGCCTCTAGGCAGAGAGAGAGTGAGAGAGTAAGAAGGAGAACGGGAAAGGGAGGGATTAGGTAAAGGTTATTGATGAATTAGCCTAGCTCTGCTTCCCTTCTCCTCCTCCTTCTCCTCCCCCTCTTCCTCCCCCTCTTTTCGTCTGCTTTAGCCCCATGAGAAATCCATGAAAATGAAGGGGTACCGGCAAGAGGGGGAGGGGTATCTGGGCTGGCTCGCTGCTTCACTCACATGTGCCTGGAATTCCCATAATAAAAGAGAGAAGGATCCACGGATGTGTGTGTGTGTGGGCTCCATAAACTGAATGGCAAACAGTGGGGCAACAAAAGATGAAGCCACAGCCGGAGAAACATCCCGTACTTACAAATGAGCATAGAGAGGGCTGGAGGAAGTATAATGATGAGAGAAGCTACTTAGGGACTAAGTCTAGTTTCCACCTCACAGGAATGCATGTCTCACTTTTTGAGCCGCTCTTCACTTGATCAACATTTAAAGAGACAAATGCACACAGCGATCCGCAGACTTTCTTAAGGGCTTCTCTGCTAGGGTCCCATCTGCTCGTTGTCCTGGGTCCAAACACAGAGATCTCCCAACATTTGTATATTTCCAGGTCACCTGATAAACTAAAATTGCCAGCTTCTACTACTGATCCTGGCCTCAGGAAAGGAATCTAAAATGCGCCTCACGTATGGGGATCCACACCTAGTCTGCCTGCCAACCTTAATATCAAAGTGTATGTTTTTACCTCGCCACCGTTTAAAGCTCTATATGATTTTATTGCTGTATTTAAAAAGTAAGTAGATATTGGAACAGCATTACCCACCAGTTTGCTCCATCTATCCCACTATGTCTTGAGGCAGCATGAGCCTAGAGCTCCGAGAATCCCCAGACCTGCTGGGACTTTTAATACATAACGTTCTCCACTGGATTTTAAACTACTGCTGAAGTGGCCTTGAGCAAGGCACTTAAAGAAATGTGTCTCCATGTGCTCCACAAGCACCCGCTGCTGGCTAAACAGCCCAAAACAAACTGGTTTCCAGCTTGCTTTTCATTTTAATGTTTAGCTTATAAAGTTGTTCGCTTCCGACTTGGTGCTGCTGACTGCTTCTCTCTCCAGCATCTGTTCGTTAAAATGGGGAGAGGCCCTGCAGCCTCTCCCCATTTAAATCCCCATTTACGGTAAAACTGTGACTCCAACAGCTTGCTTACATTGTGAGTGTGAGTAAGCCAATAACAACAGGGTTTGCATCCTCACAGATCGACCTGTTGGTTCAAGTCAGGAAGAGCAGGGATATTGAATCTTGTGCTTTGGCTGTTAGATGCAAGTCTTTAGTTCAGAGGTGTTTCTGATATTACCTCTAACATTTTAAAATGAGCAAATTTGGGGGATTTCCCCAACCAATTTTCTTTCAAAATTTTAATAACAACTTTCTTTGGACCACCATCTCTGCAGAGGGAAAGTCCCATTTTCACTTCATCTGCTGGGAAAGCATCGATTTTCACACCGGCTACCTTTAAAACTGCGTTTTATAGAGTAATGCACTCACATACCATCAGAGATGCAGAGCCGAACCGTCCCTCTCCTCTTTGGTCTGGGGGATGCAGCACTCATGTTTTCCAAAAAGAAACGCGAGTTTTGACTGAGTGGATCATGTTCACAGGTCTTATGTTTTTGCATGCAGAGCTTTAACCTGCATTTGTGGATGGCACAGTGATCATGCATCATGCCTGTTTTTAATGCAGTGCTGCCTGCAGGGCCTGAAGATCACGGGCACCTTATATTGATTTTTGGGCTTGCCCCTTGCACACAGAGATTTCTACAGATGCTCTGAATCTTCTGAATCTTCGGAACAATACTCTGTAACTCTTTCAAAATTTGTAGTTTGAGAGATAGATTGGTGAAGATCTGCACATTGATAAACTCTGCCATTGTTACATGCTTTTCTTTTTAAACCCAATCATGTCACTGACCTGTTTTTGCATGTAATTAATATAATTATAAGCAAAATGTTCCTGCAGCTGTTTCTTTTTAGCGCCGCTTTCTTTTCCAGTTTTTCCATCTTAACTTCTTTGTGCTGCTGACATTAAATTAAAAATGATTTTTCTCTTAAAATTGTAACATTTTTTAACTGTTGTATGGTATGGTTTTCCAAAGGCACAAGGCTTTGTAGCCTCTGGCAAGCTCCTAAGCACCGTGAACCCTCCCTGACATGTTGATACTTTCACATTAGACCTGAAGGTCACCTGAATACTGCCCAGAAGCCTTATAATCTCCTTTAAATGCAATGAAACTGCACAATTGCAACACAAGGACCAAATGCCATTAAGCAAAACAAATCCTTGGCCCTTGCTCTCAACTCCGAACCCTTATGGTTTCAGTTAAGAAGGTGATTACAGCCTATGATGCATCAGGGTGTGCTTGTCTCATTTCAGCCTAAAAACATCACAGGGCAGGTGGGTTTGAAGGGAAGCACGGACACAGATGGGCTTCCGATGTGAAACCCTATCGCTTTCCTCTATCACTTGATGTCCTATCAGACCCCGGGCCAAATTGAATCGAATTTTCTTCCTGTTGTTCTCCCATTAAGTGAAACATCTGCTCAATGTGTGTGTGAGTATCTGGGGAATGAGTGGGTTTCTAGTAAAGGGTAATTTTTTTTTGTTGTTTTTATCTGTCAGAATATTTTGTCTTATGTCAATTAATAAAAAAAACAGCCATTTCAGGGCAGGGCGAGACGCACTGTTTTACTTTGACTGTCATATCACTAACAATTTGCGCCGACACATGATTGAGGGGAAAAATAGGCGATGATTCTAGTGACAATACTGCTGATTCATCCTGCTGGATGGGTTGATCAAAAATAAACTTTTTGGTGTTTAAGATTAACTTTGAAAAAATCCCCAAATGTTTTGTATTTCCCCCAGAAGCGAACGCAGGAAAGCAATTTTGTCACTAATCTCACAAGACGAAAGAGCTTTAGCCTTTTAGCTACTAAAACTAAATTCACTGGGTTGAACAGAGCCTTAGGCATAGCTCGTGGTGGTGAAAAAAAATCTGTGAAGCAAAATATCTCGAATACAAAAAAAAGCAGTGCATACCATATATTCCTCAGCGTATGTTGTTATTGCGCAAACAAAACCTTTTCAGCCTAATCCACTCAAACACAACCGCCTCCTCCACTTCAGCCAGGTGTGCTGCATCCTGTAGGTATGCAGAATATGAAAGTGGGTTTCGTGCCAATGTTTCATTTCCTGAAGAGCTGACTAAAGCGAAAAAAAGCCCCATTCTGTAGATAAATAAAACACTTAACTGTGTTTCCCGCTGCCCATACAAAAGCTGTCAAACATAAAAGCAGTCAGCCAAGTCAAGGGGAAATACACAGAGACGACGTTATGAGGAGGGCAGACATTTGATCTTGAGAGAGAGAAGTGCATAAATGTCTCTTCAAGTAAAAGGTCGGGAGAAATTGTTGAGAAGGATTAGAGAGAGATGGAGCATCCTTACAGCATTACTAATGTTCCAGCTCGAAGGGTTTCCCTATCGATCTTCATTTTAACC